TAGTGCTTATCGGGGATTCAAGTGCGCGAATGAGGGCGTTGTCTTGGTCATGGAAATTTGGTGCAGATGCTAGAGCGCGCACAAATTTGGATGAGTTCCTACCTATAACTGGGAATGGGGTTCTATCTAAGGCAGCGTTCATACTCCGCGACAGCAGCGGCGATCGCCGCGATCGCCGGTGCATGGCAGCGCGCGCCCCAACGCTATTATGGACCGCTCGCCTGATGAATAAGGGAATTCAACTTACCTTCTTTACTCTTAATAATGGCTACTAACTGATAAGTTACGACTTTCTATGCATAAGCAGATCTGGAACCTGAGTAAGAAGGTTTCACTTCTTTTTGGTCGGGATAAGGCCAACTCTTTTCCCTGGGGGAGCTTCTTTTTGTTTTTTGTTGTTTTTATTGTTTCAATTTATACAAGCGCTTGGAAAGTTGCTATCGTCTGTTCCAACTTCCAAAACATTTATAGTTTACAAGTCGAGTTAAACAACGAAGAAAAAAAAGAAACAGAAAGAAACTCACCTGGGAACCAAAACACTAATCATTTTACGCAACATTAACAGGTAAAAACTTTATAGCCTCATGTATAAGCTCAAACAATAGAAAAAGAAACCATAAAAACCTGGTGAAAACTTTATAGCCTCATGTATAAGCTCAAACAATAGAAAAAGAAACAATAAAAACCTATCCTAAATGAAGCTATTACGCTTTTGCTCATTTCTATCCTGAATCAAGAAAGAAAATAGAAAACAAAAGCAATTAAGCTGGGTTCACCTTTCCCTGAGACAATTCAAGCTTCAGTACCTAAGGAAATTGTAGTTAAAGGACAAAAAAGCATGAAATTGGTCGCTTGCCCCGGAAGCCTTCGGAGCGCACGTAATATCGTTGGGGCGTGCTCTGTCATGTACGTCGGTATTGCGATTCGAAAGAAAAAGAAAAACATGCTAACTGTCTTAGGCAGCGTTCACACTTCGCGACAGCAGTGACGATCGCCGCGATCGCCACTGCTGTCGCGAAGTATGAACACTGCCTAAGGCAGTTAGCATGTTTTTCTTTTCTGCTTTTTCTTCACTATCGAATTACTTAGAACCTTGTCCTCTATATGCAAATCCACTATCTATGATGGCGGATAGTCGCGGGTTTCGCTTTTAATGAGAGACCCGCGGGGATGCTCCGCGGTTGAGGAGCTCCTGATATTGTTTGCTCCAAACTTCTGCTAGCACGCCATTCAACCTTAGCAGTTTTCTTAGATGATTTGTCACATTTACCACAAATGCTGCCTCAAAGCTTTTTTTGCTGATTTCAACTTATGAAATCCCGCCAAGCGTTCGCAGGCGCGACGACCGCGACGTCGCGCGGGCTTATCTAGCGGAGGTATCCACCGGACTGTGAATCTAGAGTAGTATTCCACCGTATTATTTTAGAGACAACAGTTCAGTAATAAACGAATTAATCAATGAGCTAATTTCATTCACTTTTTGAAATTATTACGAGGCAGCCAATCAACATGCATGCTAGTATGTACATGGAAAGGCACATTGATGGCAAAAGTATCTCGATAGCTGGCTCGGAAGCACTCCACGCTGATCGTTGGGCGGAGACATCCATTCATTAATCTTTACTACTAAATGCTCTTTTTCTTCCAGTTTTATCCAAAGGAATGCGGATGAACGCACGAAGGCACTGCAACTCTATGTCCGCACCCATACGATTTCGTGGACTTTGTCTTCAATTCCATATTCTGCTTCAATTCCATATTCTGTTCTTTCACAGATCAACAGCGACAGATTTAATGACTGTTTTTTTGTATAACAGATCGTTCCTGTCCAAGATGAGCGGACGCTTACCATGTGCTTTCCGATTCCTGACCTAGTGGATGAGTATAAGTCATCCCCCACGAGATACATCTGTAAGTTATTATAGTGTACTTCCGAGATATTGGTAATGCTTGCTTTTCTAGTAATCCCTCTTTCTCGCTAACTTGAAATTGATAAGCTGAAGAGCTCAGTACGTAAATGCATGGAAGATCCCCTCTCAATCCTAATTCTTTTTATTCAGTCACTAGTCGGATCGCCCGGCTGGCGCCGAGCTTCATTCTCTTTAGGCCGGCTTAGCCGGGCTGGCCTGGCTTTGCCAGGTGCGCTTCATAATGAAAAGAATCTGTTCATTCTCTGAGCAGCTCATATTGCGCCGTAATAATAGAAAAGATATATCATAACAGATTGAACAACGCTGCGGATCCTGCACTCCTTAGCACACGCTCATATTCGTAGGAGGGTTGTGGTCCTTGCCTTAACGCCCATACAGTACATAAATCTGTAGATATAGATACAATTAGCAGTCGGGCAATACAGCGCAATATGAATCGGTCAGTAGAAGAACAATATCCGTCTCCATCGAGTGCACCAAAATGGTGAGCGCTTCCCCTTTCTATTACCTCTCGACTGCAATCTCGTATAATCAGTTGTAGGTACTATACTACCCCATTATTCGTTGTCATCAGTAATTGCAAGTTTGTAAGTAAAAAACGCACAAAGTGCCGCGTTTTTCAGCTTTCCGATTCTCCTCCGATTTCCCTGAGTTTCCTGTTTCAGGCAAACTGCACAAACTACATACCCCCCCCCCGCCGCTGGTCGACATTGCCACTGCAATACTTGGCAACGTAGTAGTAAGAGATGTACTTAGAACGCTCCGTTATCCTACTTTATAAACTTAGAACGCTCCGTTATCCTACTTTATCAATTGATAATATTCATTGTTACCCGTCGTCAATGTCCCCTAAAACTCAGTGATTTGATAGTGTAGTGGCGCCAGCTTTTCGAAGTCAACGTTCCTTATACAACAACGGCAACAACGAACAACAACGGCGACGTTCCTTATAAGCTCCTATAAGCTGTTATCACTTCCCACAGCTCGCTGTCGATGTCCCCAACTCGCACTCTATATCATTTGCTGTAATCAACGCCTAGCTAATGCTGTATCTCGCGTAATGAGTATGGTGACGTTCCCATTCTAACTACCCTTATCAAATCTTTTCAGCTGCTAGCACTTCTTATCACTCACCAATAATATCCGTGTGCCATAGCCTATATCATACTTGGAACAAATGTCCCAGCGTTACTGTGACGCGCGCTATGGACTCGGTGCCTCTCCATTTCTGACCTCTCCTATCAGATCATATCAGCTGATATCACCCCCAGCCACCCACCGATAATGTTCCGGTCCCACACCCTATATCATACCTTGCAACTAACGTCCCATTACTGCTGTGACCCGCGCTATGGGCTCAGTGACCTCCACCTTCTGACGCCTCTTATCAGATCTTATCAGCTGATATCACTCCCTGTCACCCACCAATGATGTTCCCGTCACAGTCCCTATATTACTTCTTAAAAATCAATGTTTCACTACTACTGGGACCTGCGCTATGAATTTCGTGGCAAACAAACGGACAGACACACACACACGCACACAACACACAAACACACACAGACATGCTTAGCTGATTATAAATAGTAGGATGCCATGGTTCGTCGGAACCCCGCAAATAGGACATGCCGTGCGTTAATCATTGCTCGGTAAAAAGGCGGTATTGTCTTGCTCGCTGCGGATAGTGGGACTTGTCAGGGGCTTACTGTTGGTGTCACACCTACCGATTTTCCACCAACTGCTCAAGCGAGAAGCGACAAAAACTGGTGAAGAACGGTTGACGCTGCGTGACCCCTGATACGCGCCATTATCCGCTGCGAACAAGAGTTATATGATTGTGGGAGAGCTCTGCCCCTACACCACCACACACTTCCTTTTCTCCTCATCGGTCGATGAGATTGAAAGGAGAAACAGGGTACTCCAAATAATCGAAACTCTCTACATACTATATTACATACTCATAACTTCTATGCCTGGTCGCTGACCGTGCCTTCAAGATTGCAGAACGGTCGACCAAATCCTCCTCGCATCCCTGTACATTTTGTTTTGCTCTCTGCACCGCTGTGAAAATGTTAGGGAAGAGGCACAGGGTAGAGTAATCAAAATCGTTTGATTGTTTCACGAATTTTACAGCTCATCTGATCGGTCGTGGAGGAGAAGGTTCTTTGTTGTCAGAATTGAAGCGGCGAGGATGGGGAATCACTCTGGTTGCAAGTGAAAATATTTTCGCAAAAGGAATCAGCCTTTTCCAAATAGTAGTCGCTCTCAGCGATGGTAAGCAATCTGATTTTGCACATAAAATTCAGGTCAGATTTTTTTTATCCCTTCCCTGAAGCTGGGTAGTAACGCGGTTTCTTGGTTGGCCTAATTCCGAGGGCACAACCATCATATCCGCTTATACCAGAATCGCCTGATGCCATGCTGAGAATTGGCGGGCGAGGTAATTCGACTCTCTCAACTCGATTTTTGAGTTTGGATGGTGCGAAAACGCCTGGTGCGCTTGCATCTCGTGCCGGGGTCGGAGTTACAGACGTGTGGGGCCACGTGACTACTCTAGTTCGCGCATGCCCGGGAGACCCTTCATGGAGGCGGTGAGCTAACAGACGTTGGAGCCCACGTGGGACTACTCGAGTTCGCGCATGCCCGGGAGACCCTTCATGGAGGCGGTTGCAGGATAGTGGAGTCAAAGGAGCTAATGCTGTAAAACTGTGGCCAGGAGAAAAGGACTTCAAGCTGAGAGACTATGTAGGCGAGAGAGAGGGAGTGGACCAGAACAGGAAATTAACTATCACAAGGGAAAAATTCCGACCGAATGTTGCCTCAAATCTAGAAGAGTGTGGCAGTGAATGGTGATTACTGCTTTGTCTGAGGTGATGTTGAAGTGGCGCCACACGTTGAAACCATTTGTTTTCCCTTAAAATCGGTTTTTTTTTCTTTGCAGATGGTCTCAGTCAAGTCGAGGAAGTAATTAGCCTAGTTTTCAACTGCATTGGGCTACTCAAGCGTAGTGGTGCGATCGCTTGGATTCATGAGGAACTTCGAAAGATAGAAGAACTCTATTTCCGCTTCATGGTTCGTCGAGTGAGCGTTCAAGGACACTTGACCGGTCAATTCCTATTCAGTTTAGGAGAAAGTCGATCCAGTAACTGCGGCCAAGACATATTCTCTTAATTTGCAGCGTATTCCTTTTCGAGACATTCTGTCGTGGAATCTTCTTATGACGGAGTACAAACCTGGTACTGCACAACTTCAATGAAATAGTTACATTTCACTTTTGTACGTAGCCTGGAGTGAATGGTGCACGAGTTCTTTGTGTTATGAAATGAAAGTACATCCTGAGGGCATTACTCGCTGGTTGTGTAGGCGGAAACATATCTACCACTATTCGTGCCTCGCTGGCAAGCTGTACATTTATATTTACAAGGAAAGGTGCGGCTACACAACAACATGTAACGACAACGGATTGCAGATCGAATTATGGAAATCATTGAGATGTTGTCTCCGAAGAACATGTTCTACGTTGTAGCTGCCAAGCAGTACAGCGGTCAGGAAAGCAACATTCAGGAGCCGATTTTTGGGACAGAAATGCGAGTCGTAGATATAGATGAGGTGGGTGTTTTTGTAGGTAATGTATTCATGAAATGCAGGTTCGCCGCAGCGGAGAGCAAGCCAGGGCACGCCATCATTGTGATAATCATAACAGGGGCGGGTCGTATCTGACCTCGAGGGGGGGAAGGGGTCGGAAGCGCAGTGCCCTATCTGAAGTGATGGAGCGGCAATACCTAGATGTCGTTCGGCTTCAATGATGAAACACTCGTCCATGTGAAAAACCCCAAAAACAATCACGACGAAAGTGGAAGTGGGGAACGGGCAATAACAGGAAGTACGTGGCCTCCCACAACGACGTTATGAATCAATAGACAGAAGTATACCTTTCTGAACATTTCTGATCGCAAGAGCACATCTACATGCACTGGGGAATACCCAATTTCCTGCGTGAGAGCCCTGTGCATGGCGCACTACAGAGGTGATGTCAATCGGCGCCGAATGAACTATTTCTTAATACCACTGGCGAAAACATGCGTTTTGGAAGTACACCATAGTCTTCAAACGAACTGGAGGAGGTATGGCGTCGGAGGGGTATGCTTTTTCGTGTTGTTCGAAAGGGATGGCGTACAGACTCATTTTTCCAATTAAAAGGCCTAGGGATAAATAAAATCATTGAAATTGAAATTAGTGGACTGTTGTGAAAGCTACTAAATGAGAATTTGAGAAGAACCAAAGTACTGCTAGAAATGAAGACCTTCAGAATTCCGGCACTGTTTCATTTTCACGAACGGCCCTGCATGTAGCTTGTTAATGCTGTTCAAAGCGTGAAGACTTGTAAGTGGTTCCCAAGGATCGCCGGGATCACAACGGAGAAATTTCCTTGGAGAATTTTTTTCAAATCGTCTAACTCATGTAACAAGTGCCAACCATTCTACAGTCCTGCTTCCCTCTCTCCGAAAGGTTTACTCTCGAAGAGTTTGTGGGTGTTCAAAATAAGGGTAAAAAAATAGGGCTTCTGGAATGCTTTTCTTGAGACTGCACCCGAACCGTGAAATAGCTCGCTGCAATACCACAGCACAAAGTGCGCTCGCCTTTGAATGACCGCGAACAACAAAGTGTTCAAGTGCTAGCACTGCATTTTCCCGGATTCATTCTCTCCTTGTGCCTTTTGATGCTCATTTATGATTTATTACTTTTATTTATGGTTTATTATGGCTCCATCGTGTTCCTTATATTCATTCTTGATTGAGGTCGCGTCTTTTTTTGTCGGATTTTCAAAGTTCTTTCATTTTTCAGTGTTTGTTTGTACGCTGCTGATCTGATCTGCTGCTACCAGATTAGCAGCGGCCAAGGGGGGGGGGGAGTGGAAAGGGTCGCATCGAGACCCTTTTCAGAGGAAGGAGGTCGTATTTAGCAGAAATTGGTCACAACGCAACGGCGTGCTCCGGAGCAAGCCCAGTCTGCGAAGCCTGTTAGAAGCTACTTTTATCACAGCTTCCAACTATGGAATACAGCTTTTATCTTAAGAATTAAGAAACAGGCGAAGGGAAACGATCATCCTTCACCTGAAAAGTCCGTACAAGAAGGCGGACAGATGAGAATCCGCTCGTTATTTTTTGCAACAAATGTGAGGCGTGAAGCAGGCAAGTACACATTGGCAACACATGTCATGCAGATTGAAGCAGCTCTGGTCATGGCCTGCGCCATTGCGATTTAAACGGGCCTGGGGACAGGGTACAGCATCGTTGTGTGAAATCTATCACCCAACCAAATAGCACAAAAGTGTCGCTGAATTCGATGAAGCGATGAAATCTGCAGAGGACCTCGTTGTAAAGATAGCTACAAAACAAAACAGTTGGAAGGCATTGTCAGTACCCATTATGGAATAAGTAATACATCTCGAACAAATTCATGCGTATCAACCTTTGCATACCCTAAAACAGCAATGTGGTTGCATGGACAACGATCACTTAAGATTGGAAGTTACTCCATAACTCTTCGTGAAAGCGCGTACGGCGCATACTCAGAGCAAATCAAAATGATAAAAAAAATACTTTGATGCAGTTCAACGAGAAGATGTGTTTCGAGTTCATATTGAAGTTTGCGAATGAGTATTCTTGCAGTGGCGCAGAAGGAGTCGAGCCTGTGACTCATAATGTCGCCCAAAGGTGAAGAATATCTCTCACACTAGCGGGTCTCACAAAACATTAAGGCCTTGTGAAATGGAAATGTTAGGCGTTCTGATGGCCGTCTCGATGAGAAAACGACTGTTGCCGAAAGAACTGTGACCGAAAGAAGTTATTCTTGTCTAAAGCATAAAAACCTGCTCGCGCTTTACCACTAACGCCCATCCGAAATATTTCACGCACACAAATTTCATGGGGAATAATCCTATTGCGAATAGGCAGAATTCGGAACAGCAGAGCAATTGCTTCAACATACAACCTTCTTTTTCCCAAAAGCCCACACCTAGAAAAGCAATCACCCTGAAAAAAGCGATTACCACCCGGACAGCATGTTTGCTCCACCGCTAATTCGCCATGGAGTCGTAACGCGACCATTCGCAAGCGCTTGTGAGCCGTAACCCATCCGCCAGAGCCAATAAGACTTGAGAGTTAGCATCGTAGCAGTATTTCCTTCGGGGAAAATGTCACATTGACACCACTACTTCCCACATCACGATGTTGTACCCTGCCTGCAGCCCTCTGCCGCACGATGTTATACCCTGACTGCAGCCCTCTGTCGTAGTGGGTGGCTCCTCGTGCCTGTGGGAGACTTCGCCTCGTCTCAAAAGGAGGGAGTCATACAAGTGTGAAAGACTGCCGACTGTATCGACATTGTAATATGTTTCCTATAGAACGGCCTACACTTATATGAATACTTCATTATACCTTATGCTTGTCGGCTCTGGGATAAGCAACGAAAGCCCGGCGTCTGGTAGAACGACGGGAGACTCGGGGCATAATCGATTTGATGCGTTCACTATCGTGGATTTTAAAACTCCATTCTGATGACCATCTCGTCTCCTCACACTGTTTTAGCGTGTTCCCTTCCTTCTGTGCTCAGCGAAATCCATCCTAGCATTGACTCGCTGAGTTCGAGTCATGCGCACTCATCACTGTGTGTCCTAGTTCTTGTCATATGCGAGGCGTATGCTCCGCACTACAGTAGTGCGTTGTTTTCTCTAAACAAACGAAAGCATGGGAAATGCTAGGAGCTAACAATACGCGGGGGGCATATAGAGCAACACACCGAACCATGGCCAAAATGAGCCGGAAATTCGTTCCCCACCACTTGCGCCGAACGCGGATGATGGTCACCAACGAACAAAACTGACAACTGCGAGCTAGGTCATGGACTTTTCTGAACGCTGAAAACACATTTGATCGCGTAGACATGCACTGCTTAGGAGTTGCACCATCCCGCGCTAAATCAACCACTGTTTACTCCTATCCCACGACAGAATCCATTCCTAGATATTCGACTACGCCCACTCGAAACGGTAGATAAAAAACGGGTTTTTGCGCAGCTCGGATTATGTCTCAGAAAACCCTCACGTTTTATATACCTCCTGACCATCTGGAACTTCAGTGATAATTTGACTGGCTTTTGGAAAGAGGAGGTCTTCGACCTTGCGAAACTGCTCTTGTTTTTGCAAACGGTTTAGTTGAAAGAAAATGATCCCATTCACACAAGGGGAGCCTGCATTAATTTTGAAATTTCCCTGGCCTTCATAAACAATTCAGTACATTTCGGGAAGTTCAAATCTTTTTTTTCACGAATGCATTTCCTCTTCCTCCCCCCCCCCAACTGTCTCCTTTCAGGAGAGATACGGCGGTCCGACCTGATGAACAACTCGGAGAACCCTCAATTGTAGGATACTCATTTCTAAAATCTGTAGCTGGGTCCCAGGGCCAACGCCATCTTTGTGATCATCACAACGGGGGGTCGTATTTGCCCGCTATGGAGGGGAGGGGGGTCGTAAACGCATGGCCCATGTTGAAGTGGAGAGAGCGGTGATACACGGTACAAGTGAAAAGAAGCTCAAAAGGGACGATGAAGATGACAAAAATAGAACTAGGCACTATCGAAGTATTCCTAGGCCAAGAACCAAGAAAAAATATTGCTGAAACTTCCTCCTCCTTCCTCACAAAAAAACTTCAAGACACTTCGCCCACCAACGCTCCTCATCTGGTCTAGATAAATCCCAATCCACTAATCCGCACAATCCAGAGAAGAATCCATTGCAAAAGCTACCTATGAAACCGGAGTAATTGAATCCTGAGCAATTCCCTCACAAAAATCAAAAAAGAAACTCAACAAAAATAAAACAACATAATTCGCAATCAAATGGATAAGAAAAAAACTACACCAGGCCAGCTGAGAACCGGAGCTATGGATTACTTTTGAATTTTGGCTGTTCGCGGTCAGCGCGCTCATACAAGCTCATTGGTGAGCGCTATTTTACGGCCTGGAGTCAATTTCAAGCCAAACACGTAAAAAGTACCCCTCATTTAAACACCCATAACTTCGTTGAAAGTGAAGCTATCGGAGTGGGGTAAGTGGGAATGAGTAGAGCTAGGTTGGCTCTTGTCGCCTGAATTAAGCGATTTTGAAAACGTTCCGATTCCAGAGATTTTCCCCGTTGTGATCATCGTTGTGATCCATCTGTGATCATTTTTGCGAACCGCTAGTCGCTACGCTTTGGACGTCCATGACAAGACTCATACACGGCCTTTCGTAGAAAAAAAGAATTGTGTCGGAAGCTTCAAGATTTCTACTTTCCAACAAGGCTTTAATTTTCTTTCTAGGCCTGCTATTCGCAAAAAAATTTCCCCGTTGTGATCATTTCGTAACCATCCCCCCACGACACGAAAAATCAGCTCCTCCGAGGCCATGAAACCTCCAGTTGGCTTGAAGACTTTGGTATGTTTCTAAAACACATGTTTTCGCAAAGGGTATCAGGCAGTAGGCCATAGGGCGCCAATTGGCATCACTTCTGCAATGCGCCATGCATTGGGCTTTCACGCAGGTGTTTGGAAGGTGTAACTTCTAGACAGGGCTTCCCAATTGCAAGCAAATGTGCTCTTGCAATCAGAAAAGTCCTGGAATGTACTTTCCTCTGTTTATTCATCGTCAGTCGTAAGTCCTTTCCATTGTTTATAAATTCATGGTGTCCTTGTGGGCGGTGATTGTAGCTTCTATCATCGCCCCTTCCTCGTAGGCATTGTCAGAATGCTACACCAGCGCCAGAGTGCTGGACGTGCTTGGGACGTAGATAGGTACTGCGACCTCCCCCCCCCCCCGCTCGACAGCAAACAGCAACATTGGCACTATTCAACTATTACTACCCCAGATTTCCAGAAACGGGCCGGATTTTGATCGACTTTTTCTACGGGGTTGGATTTGGCTGAAAATTGGGTTCTAGGGATAATTCGACCTCCTGAACACGAATATCACATCCGCTCCTCTCGAAACCGCCTGGCGCCCGCGCCACAGGCGCCCGCGCCAAGGTACCCTAGATCATGAAATCCGCTGAAAACTTGTACCTAGGGATGGTTTGACCTCCTAACCACGAATATCACATTCCTCTCGCGCTTTGAAACCGCGGCCGCCTCGCCGCCTAAAATGCCCCAAATCACTGGCGCCGTATGGCGCGGGTGCCAGGCAATTTCAGGCCAAGCGGATGTGATATTCGTGTTGAAGAGGTCTAATTACCCCTATAACCCAACTTTCAGCCAAACCACCCCCGTGAAAAAAGTTGATCAAGATCCGGCCGTTTTTGCAAAACTGGGGTAGTAACAGTTGAATAGTGCCGCAAAATTTTGTGAAAAAACTAGAAATTTTTGAATGAAAAAATAGACAAAGTGTAGGAGGTTGGAAAAATCTAGGGAAGAGGTAACATGGGGAGGGGGGGTCGTACTTGAAGATGGAATTAGGGGGGGTCGTATTTTTCAGGAAATGATCACAACGCAATGACGTGCCCTGCCCAGGGCACTCCAGAAACCGGTAAAAGTGAATCAAGGTCAGCAAAGGGTCACTGGTTAAGAAATATTGGAAAGAAATGTTGTGTGCGGGACCTGCTCTGATGAGGGCAGGACTAGACAAAAAAATCTGTAAAGCGGTCTCAGAGCACTTCAGAAACCGGGAAGAGTGGATTGAGGTCAGTGAAGGTTGTCGGTTAAGAAAAATTGGAAATACTTGTTGTGGGCGTGGTCGCTCAGATGTGGGCGTAGAAGCCAGAGAAAAGAAACCTTGAAAACGTTCCAGAGCACTTAAGTGGATCAAGGTCAGCGGAGGGTGAGCGGTCGAGAACCTGGGGCACATGTTGTAGGCGGATCGTGCAGCGTGTTGCACGATCCGCTTACAACATCACATCCGCTCATCAACAGCGAAAATCTGTGAAACGATCCCAGGGTACTCTAAAGGGTTAACAAAGATGTGCAGGAGCTCTGCTATCGAAGCCCGATAGACGCGCCCACTCTGCTGTGTCAATTTGAGCAGGCGAATATCAAAAATTCACGAGTTGCTTGCAGCGCAACATATATAGACACCTCTACCCGACTGTGGTCCACAAGGGGATAGGGGACGGAATGAGTGGAAAATGGGCCCCCTCTGCAAAATCTCATGGCTCGGACTAGAGTGAGTTTGGAGATCAGGAAAATCTGTGAGAGAAAAGAAACATACAGCGAGAACTGAGTGTGCCTGTGATGTGTTGAGTCCTGCCCACAGTCGGTGGAGTGTGCTTTCAAGCATGAAGTACCTATTTTCACTGCGTTTTGGAGCATGGGCTGCATCTGAACATCTTTCGTCATAGGCACACTTGATACCTTAGACGCTTATTAAAGCCATCTGGTTTCCTGTCTACTGGGCAGACACAAAATTTTGTTTGTCTCGCTCTTGCTTGGGCATTTTCAAGTTTTATATGCGCAAATCTGTCAGCAATAGTTCGACCGTCCACAGGTTTTAGAACGGTACACTCACCTTTTGAGAACGGCGTGGCTGCGAGAATAGTGGAATTCTATCTAAGACTCTGGAACCGTTGTTTTCCCGCCACTTTGATTTATATGTTTAGAATATCAAACGACACAAATACAATCATAGTTTTATCGGATATGGTTTGGATACAGCGAATGATGGAACAGAAACACATCTCAGCTTTGGAGTTGCCTGAGCCCAGCATAGTTGCTGTGGAAAACAACAACAATGAAAGATCCATTCCATTTTTTGAACCCAGAAGTTCGGAATTAGGAACGGTACCACGGAGCCATACGTTATAAAAAAACCGGCTTCGAAATATGTGCTGCTTACGGTAATAGTGGTCTCCCTCTTTGTGAGTTGCCAATATTTCTGGAATATGGTACTTACCAAGGGGAAAAGACACACCTAGTCATCAGGAGCAGATTCGCTGATAAAGCCGACTAGCGGAGAATGGTTACACAGTCTTTCAACCCATATATGGAGACCACACTCAGCAGCGTACAGAATCTCCCTGGTTTTGCCGAACAATATTGTTTAAAGTGCTCAAGGAAGGGGGCAAAAATATGTGAGAAGTCCATGTATAAACTGGCCATTGGTGGTGGTATTCGTTAACCTATGACTGAACTTCGATGCTGAGGATGATACAAATTTTCTCACTTCCTCTTGGTTGGACTTTTTACCTGAAGCTCTTTGATAGTATTCTCAAGCCTATTAGCAGCCTGATTGAATACCTGAATAGAAGAGTCAGCGTAGGCGCCGCAATCGTCTACACTACGAGTAGTGATTGCTTTGTCTTTAGCCTAAGTCTTACGACGAAACCCGCGCTTTTGTCTGTAACACTATATCTTAGCTCCCCCTTCCATTCCATGAGCTTTTAAAGCCATCTGGTTCCTGTCTACTGGGGCCAGACACAAATTTTGTTTGTCTCGCTCTTGCGTGGGCATTTTCAAGTTTTATATGCGAATCTGTCAGCAATAGTTCGACGTCCCAACAGGTTTTAGAACGGTACACTCACCTTTTGAGAACGGCGTGGCTGCGAGAATAGTGGACATTCTATCTAAGACTCTGGAACCGTTGTTTTCCCGCCACTTTGATTTATATGTGGAATTATCAAACGACACAAATACAATCATAGTTTTATCGGATATTGGTTTGGATACAGCGAATGATGGAACAGAAACACATCTCAGCTTGGAGTTGCCTGAGCCCAGCATAGTTTGCTGTGGAAAACAACAACAATGAAAGATCCATTCCATTTTTGAACCCAGAAGTTCGGATTAGGAACGGTACCACGGAGCCATACGTTATAAAAAACCGGCTTCGAAGAATGTGCTGCTGTACGGTAATAGTGGTCTCCTCTTTGTGAGTGCCAATATTTCTGGAATATGGTACTTACCAAGGGGAAAAGACACACCTAGTCATCAGGAGCAGATTCGCTGATAAGCCGACTAGCGGAGAATGGTTACACAGTCTTTCAACCCATATATGGAGACCACACTCAGCAGCGTACAGAATCTCCCTGGTTTTGCCGAACAATATTGTTAAGTGCTCAAGGAAGGGGGCAAAAATATGTGGAGAAACTGGGAGCATGACACGCCATCGTTCTGATCATCACAAGCGGGGGGGGGGTCGTATTTGACCTCGAGGGAGGGGGGTCGTAAGCGCGGGGACCTTTCTGAAGTGAGGGTGCAGCGATACCCAGCTGTTCAGCTCCAATGATGAAAGACTTAATCATGTGAAGGACCTCTGAAGAGACCCACACAAGACAGAAGCAACCTGCCAGCGCAGAAATGGGGAACGGGCGATGACAGGGAATATGATGGTCTCCCACAACGACGTCATGAATATTATAAGATAAAGGATAAAGTCTCCTCCGTTGTTCAACACATTTCTGGGATGCACGCATCCTACTTCCATTCGAAATCGCACTGGCTTATTGAATGCGATGTGGCCTATACAATGACTTGCGGTGGCTAGCCGATGTACAAATCAGTGTTTTATCTGGTACCATCATACAGTCCCCGAGGGTATAAGGCGTGGTTGGCCTAGGCGAAAGTCGACCGGGGATTTGAACCCGGCATCGCGCGAGTGGTAAGCGCGCCACTTGTCACTACACCGCCCCGCGCCAATGAATATGCGCCATGAACTAGTGAACAGATGAAAATACACTTCCGAGCCTTTCTGCCCGTGCCAGCACATCCACCTGCACGAAGGAAGCCCTTTCTAGAAGTTGTACTTTCCCAATAGCTCTGCGAGAAAGCGCTATGCATGGCGCAATCCAGAGGTGATGCAAACTGGCGTCCAATGAACTATTTCCTGGTATCCTTGGCAAAAACATGCGTTTTAGAAGCATACCAATGTCTTAAAGCCAACTTTCTGGCGTCGGAGGGGCTGATTTTTCGGGCCTTGGGGAGTGGTTTTTTTATGATCACAACGGGGAAAATTTTCGAATAGCAGGCCTAGCGATGAAATGAAAGTTGTGCTGGAAAGTAGAAAGCTTCCTGCGTTTGGCACAGTTCTTTTTTTCGAAAAGGCCATGTATGGAGCTTGCCATGGATGTCCAAAGCGTGGCGACTTGTGGTTAGCCCCCATGAACGCAATAGGATCACAAGAGAACGGTGAAACTTTCTAGAAAGGAAATGTTTCAGGAATCGTTAAATCCAGGTAGCAAGAGCCAGCCTAGCTCTACTCATTCCCACTTCCCCTCTCTGAGAGTTTTGATTTCAACGAAGTTGTAGGTGTTCAAAAAAGGGGTACTTTCGAGTGTTTGGCTTAAAATTGATCCCAGATCGTAAAATAACGCGCTCCAGTGAGCTTGTAATAGCTCGGGAATTGCACTGCTTGCGTGCGGTTGTCGCGAGCAATCGCTATTCAAACGCACTTTGACAACTTGAGCTGACAACAACACTTGAGCTTCACCATGTCACGTACTTAGCATTCTTAGTACTAGTACTGTAGCCTGATATGGATTATACTTAAGAGCGTTGGAATTCACCACTGAAGAGCGGGTGGAATTCACCACTGAGTCATCATCAGAATTAGAACGAAGACGAAAATTGCCGGCTCTCTACAATTATGTCGCCTGCCAAGTCTCCTAGATATGCTGATGTTCGGCATAGTATTAAGAAATGCGCCCGGAATCAGTGGCTATATGTTTGTAATCAAGGAATGGAGTGTTGTACTGAGAAAGGTTGCTTTTATGGTGATTCTACTTCGTGGTGGATGAAGGGCGCTTGCATTCGACTATCCTCGATTTCGTGCACGGTAGAGACGCTAAATAGTGCTGGTATGGAAAATGATGTCACACTCGTGATCAAGACATCGAATAACATCGATAGACAAAGTTTCAGCGAAAATTTTTTTGAGTTCTTGGGGTAGGATAGTTCAATAATGCTTAGTTCTCTTTATTGTCAATTTCTTCATTCTTGCTCTTCTTTTAGTTTCTACCCTCTGACAGGGGGGAGGCGTATCAAGACCCTCACTTGGAGAGGGGGCGGTCGTATTTTTTAGGAAATGATCACAACGCAATGGCGTGCCCTGACTGGGAGACTACTCTACAATTGAAGAACACTGCAGAGCGCTGGAGTATCCACCTTCGTGTCCTTGCATCGCATAGAGGAACACGATCACCAAGAAGCCCTCGTTAATAGTCAACGTTTCGCGCCCTCAGTAGGGAACACAATTAAGAGGAAAATACTGGAGGGCTCTGAATCAGGAAAGTACAAGAGACCCTGGAATTCAAACACCTCCTACACGAAATAAACAACAGGATCAATTACGTGACATTATGCAAGTCATCATATGATCGTGTCACCAGGGATCTCACTACAGTGCTTCTAATTTGTAGAAAAAAGGCGGATTAATCCGTCTCAAAGCGCCGCACTACCATATTTCCTTTCGAAAAGGGGGGGGGGAATGTTCCTTCAACATTTCTGCAATATCACATACGCTTTTATAATCGCGGACGCGTTGCCTCTAACTTGATGTCAAGACTCAGGGCCGGAACCTAAGAATAGTGTTGAAGGAAAAATGGAGCAATTCGAAGCCGCTCTCGAAACGGTGAATCCTGTTCTGCGTCTGCCACAGAAAAACGACTATATTGCTTCAAAATTCGACCTCAAAGCACGAGAAACAGTCAAACGGTAGCACGTTCTTTTTTCTGTTTCTTCAAAGGCAGTTGGCACGACAAATCCTCAAGACGAGTAGGATTAATGCGCCGGGCAGGACGGAATTCCGCGACCCTGAGCAGGGAGGTGCCCTTATAAGGATTCTATGAAGCCACAACATACCGACCCAAATGCCCGCCCGCCCACAATGGACGACCACTTGATGCGATCGATTCTTTTGTTAAGCAAATTATGTAGTGAAGGGTTTGGTATGAAGGCGGCGGTGCTGCATGGATATGTGAGCACGCACATGCAGCCGTATTTCCAGTAGCGGTTATTGGCAAGAAGCTTACGCGAAACTCGTTCAAAATTGGTTTCTAACATAATGAGAACGGAGGCTCTTTCTTCGCAGGATTTCGACCGTTTCACTCTGTTCTTTCGCTACTTCCCCACTATATAGCGCCTTATTAGCATTCAAGGCCGAGCACCAAATCATCGTGCCAACTGTCTTCGAAGCAGTGTTCAATCTTCACAATGGCGGCGCTTCGGCGCGCGGTCGAGCGATCGATCGCGCCCGTCTATGGTTATGGCTACGGCGATTGCTCGAGCGTACGATCGCGTTGCTCGCGCTAGCATACAGTTGTATAGCGCGAGTTGTTAGCGCTCCAATGCAAAAATCGACTGGACAGATTCTAACTCACAGCCGTATCCGCTTTCTTTTTGCTTCTTTCTCCTCCCGTTAGCTCCTCGTTTGCTTGTCATCTTCCTGCCACAATTTATTTAATCTATTCCTAGTGTTTTTTGCTTACTTTTTTTACTATTATTTTAACTTAATTTTTTAATTACTATGCTTATTCACCTTTACCACATCAAGGTTTTCCAGATAAATCAAAAATTTTCATAAGGACGGCCGCGTTGAGTGCGCGCACTTTCTCTATTCCTGAGGATGGTTTTTCAGATTCTGTGGTTTTGCTTATCTTTTTGGTTCTTATCAATCATACTGTATTTAGTTTGGTCATCAATTCACAGATAATAACAATGAGAAAGATGGTCAAAACTACGGGAGGCTTGAAAAACCCACCTCATAAGTGGAGAAAGGCGCGCTGAACCTCAGAAAAATTGCAGTATATCTGAAAAAACGCAATGTGGTAAAGGTAAATAAACATAATAACTGGCAAACATAAGGAACAGTCCTAACAAATTGTGGCAGGAAGATGAAAAAGCAAGCGAGAAGGTAGCGGGAGGAGCAGGAAGCAAAATGTAAGAGAATACGCTGAGAATTAGCACCCGTCAGTTGATTTTTCCATTGAACTCGCGCTGGCCAATCGTACGCTATGCGAGCGACGCGATCCTACATTCGAGCGATCGACGCCTCTCGATCACGTGGTTGAAGCGCCGTCGTCGCGAAGTTTGAACGCCGCCTGAAGCTCCAGTTTTCACGCTGCAGACGAGCGATCAAAGTTGCCGGTTGCTTGACGCAGCGCAAGCCCGCTTTTCAAAACAAGCGACAACAATTGGTGTAAAACTGGCGGGCGGCTGAGACCAGTTACCTAAGTGAGCCGGCGTGTACCAGCAGAAGGAAGACTCAAAGTATATTTTGCTCTCGTGGTAAGGGCGGAATTGAGCGTACCTTTGTGGTTTTCTCAATTGTGTCCATCCTCACCTCTATCAAATTGAGTGATGCATCAGTGAGTAGGAAATGAATGTACGCAGGGGTTCCATCCCATATGTCTGCATGGAATCAGCCATTGAAGGCGATAAAAAGCTTTATTGAAGAGAAATGCTAATGATAGGGAATATCCTCACGTCATACAAGACGATGCATGGTGTCGAATTTGGTTCAAGCAAGACGACGAATACAAACTCCCAATAGCTGTAACTAGGGTGGGAATTCTTCATCTTTTGACTGCGAATCTTCATCATAACGCGTTCCGTTGCAGGTCGCACTCATTTCTCCAGCGGTCATGAAGTCTCTACAATCACAAGTGCTCTTGAAAATCTTCTCAGCGTGTTTGCAGGTAGGTTCCTCCCTGGTTTTTCCATCCTTGACTGTATTATTTAACCTTCCAGGACGCTTTGACGGAAGATGTTTCGAATGCGGAGCTGGCTGGCGTCAGCTGCAACATAAGTGAGAAGGATTTCGGGCTGTTACTGGAAGTGAGTAGTAGTTATAACGTCGACAGGAAAAGTGTTTATTTTATGAACTTGAAGAATTTGTCCTCATTCTGGAAAAGGCGTGACCGATATCGTGAACAATGATATAAGGTGTTACGCATCTTATAGTACGTGCGCCTCTCACTTGTACTCTACTTGTTTTGCAATATGGACGACAATTTCTCTCCATATCGTCGGTACCTGAGCCCTTCAATGCTTTGACTCGAGCATGAGGCAGGGTGGGGGGAGAAAAGCCAGAGTGAAGGAGCTCTACGAGAATCACGTCTCCGTTACCGGACAGCCCACCAATGCTTAAAAGCGGAGTCACAATTTGAAGACAATTTTGGGTTAACATGTCCATTGACCCTGAGTTGAGAGAGTTCCGATACCGGAACTAGTGGCCGAAAGCTCGACTGACCTTCCTATCCTTCCCCTCATGTAATCGGTAGGATCTGCAGCACAGAGGCGCTGATCAACTCTTCTGGCTAGCGTTAGTCAGAGGGACTGAGTTTGGCTGCTACCAATACTCAGTCCTCTTGTATTACTGTATTGACCATTGCCAAAGGCATGAAAATGTAGCAGAGATGCATAAAGACAAGAGCCCATAACCATGTTGCCAAAGCTTACGGTCATTATCTCTGCAAAAGAGGAGACATGCACTGGAGCTTGGTTACGAATAATATATCAGTCATGGAAACGGGAGAGCATGGATGGGCGGGCTCTTACCGACCACGACTCCATCCAGAGGCAGCATCAATCGGTTTAAAAGAATACCCTAGTTTCCCTCTCCCTCACTGTCTATGTCCTCTTGTTTCCACGAACAGTTATTGTATACACACTATTCAGGTGATGGGTTACGACGAAAAACAACCACAACTTGTCGAGCATATTATCAAGCGAATGATTGACTTCAAACCGGGTGAGTCACTTCGGAATCTCTTATTTGACTAGACCTTTCCGATTAGCACTTGCTTGCACGGAAATGCTTCGCAATGTGCAAATAATCTGCTGAAAAGGTCCAGTAGATTGATGGAACTCCAGATCCTTGCTTACAGATCCTCTCCGCTTTGACGACTTATTCGACGGCGTGAAGCGATCATTTAAGAACTTTGTAGTTTCGGAACCTACTACACTATCAGAGTACTATGTTGAGCTATTACTCAAAAACGAGTGGACTATGGAACAGGCTATTGCTATTTTCAAAGGAAAGCGCTCTTTCTGTGAAGTTCCGGGAATCTCTGCACGAAGTCCTATGATATGGTTAAACAGTTTTAGATCTTAGTGTACACGAAGTGGAAGCAATCGGAAAAGAAATGCTGAGCGTTTGCTTTGTAGAATTTTTCGTACATGGCAACGTAACAGAACAAGTACGTTCCCTTCTCCATTGTGTCAAGGTGATCTATTGAGTGGATGTATGTCGTTTGGCGCGATTTTCCTATCACCTCCTCGTCAAAACGTGTCAAGTGAATAGTGTTCCAGATGAGACAACTCGCGCATAGTTCCAAATTAGTTCTTTCCCCCTAAGTAATCATTAGATGAAAGCTTGGCTGAGAACCATGGGCACTGTAGCCCTTACTGACGGTTTTTGGCAGACTACAAATTACGAGAGCCTCATAGTCTAGTGATTCATACAAGTTATCCAAGTTGGTAGGGACTTACCATACCTGTCAAAACACGTCAGTTGCAGTGAAATCGCGCCAAACGACCGCCTCCCCTATTGAGTGGGTCCAAAAGTAATGGCGTTTTTTGCGCAATTGAAAAACCGCGCTAAAGGAGAGAAGTTTCGCTCTGAATTTGATTCGATCCTGCAGAGAATCCCTTGCCCCATATGGCAGTCCACAGTCTTTCTAATTTCTGCTTTCACTGACAATCGCACACAGGCGCTCGAATTGGTGTGTCAACTTGACGAAATTGAGCATTCTCGACGGCCTCTCTTTTTTTCACCCCTAATGCAATAGCTTTTGGAAACGAAAGACCTGACGCTGTATCGAAGTCCGCTGATAACGGTCATCATTCACCGGCAAACGTCCAAAAGGCTGACCTGGAATGCGGTGAAAAGACATCCTGAATATGGACATGACCGCTGCTGGCCTGTCCGCAGCTCTGTTCTATCTACAGAGACCGTTGGAAAGCGTTGGTCAAAGGAGCGTACCCGACAAAATTTGGGCAAGAACGCGAAGAAGAAGAGAGAGAAGAATAGTGGGCAAGAAGCCATGTCTATTAGGAATGCTTACAATGGTTTGAGCGATTTGAAGATTTCAGTCATCTCACAGTCTTGACCTCACTAGGACTTCGGTTCTATTTATTGGTTTAGGAACTGAAATAATGATTGGGAGGGACAAGTTCGGGGCATCCATATCTCTGCGCAAGAGGTGAAATTCGTGGACTGCAGAGGGACGCATTAAAGCGAAAGCATTTGCCAAGAATGTCTTCATTTATCAAGAAGGAAAGTCAGAGGTTTGAAGGCGGTTATATACTGCCCTAGTTCTGACCGTGAGCTATGCCAATTTAGCGATCCGAGGGGTCGTGGTTGCCTTGTCGAGGAGCTTTGCGGAAACGAAAGTCTTTCGTTTCCTGGGTAGTGTGGTTGCCAGGTCCGAAACTTTGAGAAACTGACGGAATGGCACCACCAGGAGTGGAGCTCGCGGCCTAGTTTGACTCAATACGGGAAAACTCACCCGACTCGGACACCGTAGGGATTGACAGACTGAAAGTCCTTTCTCGATTCGGTGGTTGGTCGTGCTTTGCCGTTCCTAGTTGATGGAGCGATTTGTCTCGTTTTCCGATAACGAGCGAGACTCTAGCCTGTTAAATGGATTTTCAAGCTCAGTCTACTTCTTAGAGGGATAAGCGGTGTCTAGCCTCACGAGACTGAGCGGTCCGTGATGCCCTTAGATGTCCGGGGCTGCACGCGCGCTACAGTGGAAGAATAACTGGCCTATCCATTGCCCAAGGACATTGGTAAACCGTTGAATCTCAGTTCCGTGGTCGACCAGTCTACAAAGGGGGCGGAGTCCTCCACGAAGGGGTGGAGTTTGCCCGCAAACACGTAAAAACACAAATTTCGAATCTGTTATAAAAGTGCCATCAAATCTTACGGAATTCAGAATTCCGATGGGGGCGAAGTTCCCACTAAGGACGGGACGAGGACGAATTTCTCAAAAGGGGCTTGAACTAGGTGGGTGGAACTAGATGAGAGAAATATCGAAAAAAAATTTTTAAAAGTCAGAAATTTTCAAAAAGTGGTAGGAGTTTGACGTTAGGGGCGGGGCTTGTCTGCGACTAACAGCTATTTGAGTGACATAGTATAATAAGTCATAAGGATTTTGTTTTCTAGATTTTTTGACTCTTTAAAGGCATCATTTCGTCAAAAGAAAAACTCGAAATCTCTTAAAGTGGGCGTGGGCAGGGGTGCGGAGCATAAGTTGGATAATCAAATAGTCACAAATTTTATGTAGATCATATTTGTCAAGATGTCACTCAGCTCATGTCGCGGTATATAGTTACAAAGTGGCGAAATTGTCACAAGATTATTAATAAGTAGGCGGAGTCGTCGAGGCGGTCAAGTGTGCTATGTACTTATCGTGTTGTCAGTCTATCTGTCAATATACTGACTATTAAAAACTGTTATAACATCTATAACAGCGTGAAATGTGTCTAACATACATGCGAATTGTGTCGCGACAGAAAGGGGCGGAAAGGGCATGTAATGTGGATATATAGTGGGAAAGATTAGGAAAATGTCTATGAAGGGCTCTCCGGGCTTAATGAATCACTTTATTCATGGGAGTTCATGCCAAAGAATGCGACTGGTCCAGATGGGGCCAGTTGAGGCCTGGAAGGCCCTTGGAGGGCATGGAGTAAGCTCGCCCGCTTCCTAAACAACATAACAGCCGAAGGAAGAATGCCGGATGCTTGGAGGTGCAGTACAGTCGTCTAAATCTTCAAGGGAAAAGAAGATGCGGCGGACTGCTCCAACTACCTGAGTATCAGGTTGACCGCACATACCGCGAAGCTGTACAAGTGATTATTCAACTGAAGGATTTTGTCCCGCAAGAGCAGTTTGGCTACATACCCGGTGAGTCTACCACAGAGCCATCTTCATCGCAGGGCAAACAAAGGGGACGTGTCGAGAGAAGCGTCGACATTGCTACCTAGCTTTCTTGATCGAGAAGGCCTTCAATCGCTTATGACAACCTTAAAGGGGGGGAGGTCTAGAGAAGGGAACATTCCCGATATCTCATCTCCGAGCACCTTATCCCCTAAGGAGGTTTATGTGCGATGGAGCAGAGGTGCTGTACGCACCCCGCACGAGGGCGTGTACGATGGGGCAAAGCTGCTGTGCGCACCCAACACCGGGTAGATAGAAGGATTGGGTTCACCATGGGTCAGCTCTTAGCCCCTTCCCTTCCTCCACACACTGAATGTCATGGAAAAGGAACTCATGGCAGGGCCACTCAGGACCACAATCTTTGCCGATGACATTGCCTTGATAGTGGCGAGCAGAGAGAGCTTCAAGGGAATGTGCGAAGAAGGCAACAGGTCAAAGGATAGAGGTTGAAGTCTTCCCCGTTGATCAATCTTTTCGTGGGATGCCGCACGCATCCATCATAGCGGCTTACTGAATGCGACGTGGCCTATACAATGACATGCGGTGGCCAGCCGATGTACAAGTTTTGGTAATAGGCGTTAGAAAGGAATGGTGACCATTCTCATGAGACGGGTGACAGCATGAGCTGGGTGTCGATTTTAAGACCCGATATAAGGTATGGCACATGAACATCACTGGTCTGTCTGTGTGACGCCTGGTTTCGTTTCCGAATCTATCTATCCTATCTAGTCGTGTCTAGCCGCAGGCCCATCTCACACCTCATTTCAGCAGAGTGTAGCTGTTTTTCATGGTCCTTGCATATGGGCCAGCACTCGCTGCCATAGAGCAACACCGTCTCACCACCACCTGGTGCACCATTTCATTGAGGGTCCTGGAGCATCGCCGATGGCCGACTCCCGGCAGACTCCTTCCACTTCATCCAAGCCGCACTTAATCGAGCTTTCACTGTCTGGTCCACGCCACATCATGGGCCAGGCATGGCTTGCCGGATAGCAGAAGTTCTCCACCCTCTATTTCCACAGTGCCTTGGATGGACTTGTTGCACTCCTACAGCTCAGGAACTTGTCTTTCTGATTTCAACTGCAATTTACTTTTCGGTGGGCACACTCTGCCTTTTTTTCGTGAGACGGAGGTTGTGTGTGACAACTGGCGCGCTTACCACTACTGCGGTGCTGGGTTCAAGTCTCGGGTCGAGTCCCACAAAGGCTAACCCCCGGAGACAGAAAATTGGACCACATTTGGGAGAATGAAACACTAGCTTGTACATCCCGAAGTAGATTCCAACTCCTCTCATCTCGAAACCTACGCATAGGGCGATGTTTTATTCTTCTGTTCTGCCAACGAGGTTTGTAGGTGGCAACACTTCATTCGGCCAACGTTTCGACCTGCTCGTCGTCATCAAAGGCCGGCTCAAAGCTTGAGAATCGCACGCTACCCATCGAACGCTTTGTCCCTTCTAGCATTTCTGACGTCATCTCAGGGTTATGCAAAAATACCCAAAAGTTGAAAAATAAGCTCACAGCGTTACGCCACAATAGGTTACTAGTCTACGTTAGTAAATGGATGAGCGAATGATTGTTACTCTCCTTTATCAGGACGCACGAGTTCGCTTATCATGTATGCAATTCGCAATGTTCCATGAAAGGTAGTAGATCATTCGTAATGGATACACACTGGTTTCGGTTGTTCACATTGGAATTTAGTGCTGAATCTAAAAAGCTTCCAGCGCTTTCCTAGCTGAGATCTCACAAGGGAGGTCTTTCAGGTTGTGGCGCGCTTTTTGGAAATGGTTTGTTCTTGTTGTAGGGGTCCATCAAGGATCACAAAAATGGGTTTCATTTTTGCTATGCGTTTCTGGGTGGGTCAAAAAATGGGTGAAAACAATTTGACAAGAATGGGCTGTTTTAACAACATTAATGGGCTCCTTTCTGCTTGTAACTTCGAGCATAGTTTATGAGGTGGTCTCTAATCAGGCCTCAAAAATAGATTTGATTAAAGTCAAGATGTAAGTATCATGTTGTAACACACTTGGCATGCACCGACGCAAGAGTGATGTTTTTGTCAGCGCTCCCTACCATGACCATTGCTGGCGGATCGGATGTCGTAGCGGATAGCACGATGGATTCTGTATGACACGGCAATGCGAGACTCGGTTCGGATCCTCATTGCAG